CTCCCAAGTAGCTAGTATTACAGGTGTTGGCCACTACGCCTGGCTAGTTTTTGTATTTTTAGTAGAGACCGGGTTTTGCCATGTAGGCCAGGCTGATCTCAAACTCCTGACCTCAGATGATCTGCCCTCCTTAGCCTTCCAAAGTGCTGGGATTACAGGCTTGAGCCACAGTGCCCAGACCAACTTCTTTTTTTAGTTAGCTCCCACTGATCCTCTCAGATTTAGTTTGCATCATAGAAGGAGATAACATGTGCTACACCTCACAAAATTTATACCTTTCTTGGATGAGCCCTTGAATTCTTGGCTGGATTGACTAAATAAAGAGATAAGCCTTATCCTATAGGATTTGGAACCAGAAAGTGACAATATGGGGTTTAAATTTTATAAAATTACTATGAAATCAGTTTGGAAGAACCACATCTCAACATGAGGCAACAGCCCAGTGCAGTAACTTACTTCAATTTGCTTACGTTGTTACTTGCTCCATGTCCCTCTTTTCTTACCTTGCCACCATGTGCTTACCATCTTCCAAATTTAAAAAAAAAAAAAAAGTACTCTTAATCCTTGCCTCAGGCTCTGTTTTCTAGAAGACTCTGGCTAAGACAGGCATACAGTTTAACCCCAGTTTACCAATCAGAACCAATTTCTGTACTTATGTTTCAGCTATTAGGGAAACAGACTTCCTTTTTTCCCCTCAATAGACACAAATCTGGAAGGATTTCATAGACAAAAATCTGGAAGCTGCTAGCAGTGGAAGAGGAGGAAGGCTGCCTAGATATGGAGCAAACATAGGAGAAACAGATCCAAGAAATGGAAAGAGAAAACCCCTTGACTCAAGGGTTCATAATGCACCATATCCCAAGCTGCCTTCTTTTAGCAGAAGCATGCCCCAGTCTTTGATCTTTACCTCATTCTCACTCCCCACAACTTCCTAGTCTAGGGCTACCTCCACCTGCTTTCTCTGACTAAAAATGCTCCTTTCAATTACCAGAAATTGGAATTTGTCTCAAGAGAGAGGCTGATTGTCATATAAAGAAGAGGAGATTCTCAAATACAGAATATTGTCAATGGAGTTCTCTTGAGCATATAAAGAGTACGCCAATTACTGCTCCACACCTGTGAGGAACACAATTTGAGCAAGATAAATTCTCTTTCTTTAAGGCTCTGATATTCTGGAGTGACAATGCACAACAGAAATATAATGTAAGCCAAACACAAATGCAAACATATATGTAATTATACATTTTCTAGCAACTACATTAATACAACAAAAAACAGCAAGTAAAATTAATTTTTTTTTTTTTGAAACAGAGTCTTACTCTATCACCCAGGCTGGAGTAAAGTGACACAGTCTTGGCTCACTGCAACCTCTGCCTCCTGGGTACAAGTGATTCTCATGCCTCAGCCTCCTGAGTAGCTAGGACTACAGGCACATGTCACCATACCCGGCTAATTTTTGTATTTTTAGTAGAGACGGTATTTGCCATATTGGCCAGGCTGGTCTTGAACTCCTGATCTCAGGTGATCATCCACCTTGGCCTCCCAAAATGCTGGGATTACAGGCATGAGCCGCCACACCCAGCTTAATTTTAAAATGTTTTATTTAACCCAGTTGTATCAGTCTGTTCTCGTGCTGCTAATAAAGACATACCTGAGACTGGATAATTTATAAAGGAAAGAGGTTTAATGGACTCACCATTGCACATGGCTGGAAAGGCCTCATAATCATGGTGGAAGGCAAGGAGGAGCAAAGGCATGTCTCACATGGCAGCATGCAAGAAACTTGTGTAGGGGAACTCCCTACACAATAATGGAACTCACCCTCATGATTCAATTACCTACCACCGGGTCTCTCCCATGATACATGGGGATTATTAAAACTCAAGGTGAGATTTCGGTGGGAACACAGAGCCAAATCATATCACCAGAATATCCAAAACATTATCATCTCAACATTTAATCAATGTAAACATTATTATGAGTTGTTTTACATTCTTTTTTTGTAAAAGAATACAAAGTGTTTTTATATTTTATAGTTATAGCCCATTTCATTTTGGACTAGCCACATTTCAAGTGTTCAAGAGCCACATGTGACCAGTGGCTACTGTAATGGACAGCACAGCTCTAGGAGTAATCATGTAAAGGCTTACTCTGATGCATGGTAGACTGTAGTCAGTACAATGTTAGGGGTACAATCCTGTGCTCCAAAAGACCAAGAAGGGAAGAATGGACACAGAGGAAAATGGACCATTTGTATCTGACAGTATTTTTATGGTTACAGACCTGGAGATGGAAGAAGCAAATCAATGACTTTTGCATACAGGTGGACCTTAAGGACTCAGACTTCCTAGGATAGCCTTTTGGGGGAAAAGGCATTCTTTTCTCAGTTTTGAGACCAACAGTCTTTAGGGTGAAAGCTTTGGGAAATATGGTACTATGTTTTGGATATTTATTTTCCCCACAAATTCTATGACTGTTTCTAAACCTCTTCTGCTTCACTCTGCCCAGTGGCATTGCCCCTCAAACTCCATTTGAAGAGTGGTCCATGTGTGAATGGGTTGGGGAGGGGTTTCCCTAGCATTCAGTTTACATCTCAAGTAAGAAAGGTTATGTTGGGGAAGAGGCAGAAAGTTTTTTTAGCTTCAGTCCAGAAATGCCTTCTCATATCTCAATGGAGTAAAAAGCACTTCCTCAATGATATGGTTTGACTGTGTCCCTACCCAAATCTCACCTTGAATTGTAGCTCCTATAATTCCCATGTATCACGAGAGAGACCTGGTAGGAGATAATTGAATCATGGGGGCAGGTCTTTCCCATGCTGTTTTCGTGATAGTGAATAAGTCTCACAAGATCTGATGGTTTTGTTTTGTTTTTGTTTTTGAGACAGAGTTTCACTCTTGTTGCCCAAGCTGGAGTACAGTGGCATGATCTTGGCTCACTGCAACCTCCACCTCTCTGGTTCAAGTGATTCTCCTGCCTCAGCCTCCTGAGTAGCTGAAATTACAGGCATCCACCACCATGCCTGGCTAATATTTTGTATTTTTAGTAGAGATGGGGTTTCACTATGTTGGCCAGGCTAGTCTTGAACTCCTAACTTTAGGTGATCCACCAGCCTTGGCCTCCCAAAGTGCTGGGCTTATAGCATGAGCCACCACGCCCGGCCGACCTGATGGTTTTATAAAGGTGTGTTCTCCTGCACATGCTCTCTCTTGCCTGCCCCCATGTAAGAGGTGACTTTGTTCCTCCTTCACCTTCTGCCATGACTGTGAGGCCTCCCCAGCCATGTGGAGCTGTGAGTCAATTAAATCTCTTTCCTTTATAAATTACCAAGTCTCAGGTATGTCTTTATTAGCAGCATGAGAACCGACTAATACACTCAACTTCAGATTTCTAAGAAAAAGGACATTTTCCTACATAACCACAAAATCATTATGACACTCAGGAGATCTGTAATTGATTGACAATATTATCTAAAACACAAGTCACTTCAAAAATTTCCCAACTGACACATCAGAGTGGCTGGAACTACAGGGGCACATGACCACCTCAAATAATTTTTGTATTTTCTGTAGAGACGAGTTTTCACCATGTTGCCTCAGCTGGTTTCTAAACTGAGCTCAAGGGATCCACCTACTTCAGCCTCCCAAAGTACTAGGATTACAGGTGTGAACCACCGCAATCAGCCTGTAGTTGTCTTAATGTTTTTCTTGTGTGTGTGTGTGTGTGTGTGTGTGTGTGTGTGTGTGTGTGTGTTTGTTTTGTTTTGTTTCTTGAAACAAGAGTCTCATTCTGTCATCCAGGCTGGAGTGCAATCGCCTGATCTCAGCTCACTGCAAACCCAGCCTTCCAGGTTCAAGTGATTCTCCTGCCTCAGCCTCCCAAGTAGCTGAGATTACAGGTGCCTGCCACCACACTTGGCTAATTTTTTGTATTTTAGTAAAGAGGAGGTTTCACTATGTTGGCCAGGGCTGGTCTCAACTCCAGACCTCAAGTGATCGGCCTGCCTGGGCCTCCCAAAGTGCTGGGATTACAGGCATGAGACACCATGCCTGGCTAAGTTAATACTTTTTTATTTTTGTTTAAAAATATTTACCTATTCTGAAGTCTAAAGATATTTTCCTGTATTATATTCTAAAAGCTTTATAGTTTAATATTTCACATTTAGGTCTTTAATACACCTGGAATTGATTTTTATGATGAAGTGAGATAGACGTCCTGTTTCATATTTTTTTTTCATAAGAATATCATATTGTCATGGAACCTTTATTGAACAGACCATCTTTTCTCCATGGCTGGCTGATGCCACCTTTGCCATAAATCCAGTTTTCAAGTGGTAAACCGTAAAGGAAAGCAAAGAATCAAGTATCTGCTTTCGGTGGGGAAAAAGTAAGAAAAGCAAAGTGTCATAAAAGTTGGGCGAGTGGTTTTCTCAGGAAGTGTATTTGCGAAGAGCCTGACACTATTCTTTCTTAGCTCTAATGATGACTTATCTGTTCATAAACATTACACGTTGCTTTGTATTTCAGAATAAAATTGTGTTTTCTTTATCAATAAAAGGTTAAAAGTAAACAAACACACAAGAAAGAAGATGGATGAGGGGAGTGCCAGCATCTCTGAAAAGTGAGTTCGTGGTTTCGTTCTCACTGTGGGAGGTGCTACGGTGGGGACGCTGAAGCCACCGGAGGCCAAGCGAGGCAGACGCGGCACTTCACCCGGGCTAGCTAGGGGCCCGGACCTTGGTCGGACCGTCCCCGCCAGAGAGGGAGCTTACAGGTCAGCCGCCCCCGGAATTAAACGACCCGCAGGCAGCGGCGCAAACGGAGGGACTGCCGGGCTTTAGCGAGCTCCCAAAACCGGCCCTCACAGAGGCAGCACCCTCCCCGCGCCCGCAGAGACTGATTTCCACCCGTGCCGCCTCCTCGCACGACAGGCGGCGTCGCGAAGGCCTCTGGGAAGGCGGTACGTGGGCAGCCGCGGGGCATTCTGGGACTGACTGGGCTCTAGGCGGCTTGTTTGCGACTGGCGGGCGGCCGTTTCAGTTCGCTTCGGCAGCGCGCTCTGCCCGGCCTCCTCAGTCTCCTCGTGGGGAGAGTCCGGGAGCAGCTCCGAGGCCGCGGGGAAACCAGATGGAATCCGAGGTTTGGAGTAGTATCCGAGGTTAGGGCAAGGCCAGAGAATGGAGTGGGAGGCTTTCGGAGCCCAGGGTTCGGTCCCTGCGATCGCCGCGTCCCCCTTCCTTGGTGGGAGCGGCTCCCGGGAAGCGGTTCGTCTCGTCTCCCCTCGCAGGCCGGGTTCCGTTCTGGACCTTCGCCCTCGGAACGCCGTGCGGTCGGCTGGAACTCCTTCCCGAGGTGGACGGCTCTGCTCTGGTTGCTGGCTCTGCCAGGACTGTAGGAGTGCGCAGTATGCTTTAGGGTAGGCAAGGCACTCCCTGGGAGACAGTGCTTTAGGGCCAGAGAAAGGTCTCCGGTGAAGGCAAATGCCCGCGGAGCGCACAAATCCAGGCTGCACGGAACAAGTCAGGATGCTGCCACTGACAGTTCCGCAGACGGCTGGAACCCATCAGAGAGGAAGAGCCGCTGACATAGGGTCTCTTGCCTGAGCTGTAGGGTTGAGACTGGAGCTGGAAGAGGGAACTGATCTCGGAGCCTCTCGGGGACCTTGGTGGTTTGACCCTTTTACTTGCAGGGAGGGATTGGATGAAGTAACTGTGTCCAAAATGCAGGGAAAACGAAGAAATCATGGAGAGTTTGCCCCATGAGTGAGCGTTATGTAACCTAGGATCTGTGGTTAACAGTCTGCGGTTTGAGTCTGAGGGGAGAAAACACCCAAAGTGAGGGAATGGTCAGGTGAGAAAGGACCAGAAGTTCCGGTTCTACCATAGCAAGGACCCAAGTTGCACATTTAGGTTCTTTGATGCAGATCTCGTCTTGCAAAACTTCTTTCTCTTTCCTAGCCTTGTTATTTCAGCCCTCTGGCCTTCCCTATGAGGAGGAAGATCAACTAAGTCACAGGTGAGTAGGAGTTATTTCTCTTCTAAAGTTTAATTTTCTTCGTCAGGGGGAGTCGATACACTCTCATCTCTTCCTTGGGAAAAAGAAGATCTATCTTTATCGAGTGCTAATATGTGTATTATATGTTATCACTCAGTGGTCGGATAACTGAGTAGGGTTAGAAGGTGTAGCCTTATTTTAAAGATGTGTCAGTAACTTCAGGAAAACTAAAACTTTGTCCAAGCTTACACAAAAGTCAAGTAGCATCCTACTAAATGCTACCGAATTACTCAGGATTAGGTTCAGAATCCAGATCTGTAGGACTCCGAGACTCTTGGCATTATGCTGGTGTTTCCCAACATCCCATTCACCTACTACCTAATAATTTTGCCAGACCTATTACTACCTGTATTGTTCTCATATTTTTTTTAACTTAAACATTTTTTTAAAAAATTCAAACTTGTCCTAAGAAACAATATCTGTGAAATTAGGCATTTGATGGCTGCTCCAATAATATTATAGTTATTCTAAGGAGTATTTTAAAATGTTGGTCCATGCGGTATGTAAAATCATCTCGTGTCGGAGACACAAACTACATTTTGAGACACAATGCACTACATTATGCGCTCTCCTGGATTCTTTTCTGCATAGGAAAGTCCCAGCCACACATCTGAATGTCAGTTATCCATCCTTAGTGTATTGTTTTATTCTTATAGATGAATAATTTCACAGAGAATGCCCTGCTTTGTATCTTCTTCAAAAGACATTTCACTTCCCTGTTTGGGACTACCTGTTATCAATGTTGTATGTAAAACAAGTAGGAACTCGATACATTTCAGGAGCTTACTCTCTCTTTGGGGGGTTAATGTGTACAAAGGAAATAGTCTAACTCTGTGTTGTTCAGTAGAGCTTTCTGTGATCAGGGAAATGTTCTGTGTCTGTGCCTTATCTGTGTCCACTAGCCTCATGTAGCTGCTAAGCACTTAATATATGGCTAGTGCAACTGATGAATGAGTTTTATTTTAATTAATTGAAATTTAGCCACATATGACTAGTGGCTACCGTATTGGACAGCCAGGTCTAGATATTTGAAGTAAAAATTTTTTTTAGATGGAGTTTTACTCTTGTTGCCCAAGCTGGAGTGCAATGACATGATCTCAGCTCACTGCAACCTCCACCTCCTGGGTTCAAGCGATTCTCCTGCCTCAGGCTCCCAAGTAGTTGAGATTACAGGCGCGTGCCACCACACCTGGCTAATTTTTTGTATTTTTGGTAGAAATGGGGTTTCACCATGTTAGTCAGGCTGGTCTTAAACATCTGACCTCAGGTGATCTGCCCCCCTCGGCCTCCCAAAGTGCTGGGATTCTAAGCATGAGCCCCAGCCTGAAATAAACTATTTTAAGGTTAACTGATTTGGACTTGAAGTCCCCACTCTCCTCCACAAAACCTTATAGCATATGTTATAAATGCCCTTTAATTTTAGTTTCTTGGTGAAGGGTAGAGATTCTTTCCAATTTTCAGAGACTTCATAGTTCAAATAAAGCACATTTAGTTTATAACACTTATGTAAATATATAGCTTCTGTATTTTGTTACTGTTGAAAAAGCCAATAAAGCAGTAACTATATAGGATACTCTATAAGCAAAAGTCTTACTATTGTATTATTTGTATTCATTGCAGATAACTTTTCTTCTAGCTATCTATGTTTTCTTTCATTATTGATGTTTAGACTATTTAAAAATCAGTTAAACACAACCACAGCTATATTAATGATGTTTTCAGGGCATCATTTCTTACTTTGACGTAGAAGTTGGTACATTCACCTTATTTCACTGCTTATTAGAATAGCAAGAAGAAAACTTTTGGTTCATAGCTATTTCTGTCAGCTTAAATTCTGTGTCAAATTTATTTTCCTGGCACTCAAAGTCAAACAATAGTGGACTAGTAATATCTTGTTTTGTTTACTCTTTATGCAGGTTAGATATGTGGCGTTAGGACGAAGGCTTAAAAAGAGTATCTTAGAGGGCGGCGGGTAAGGGGAAAAAAAGTATCTTAAGATAGTTTGCCTAGTTTCTTAAGATTAAAAATACTTGAAATACAAAATAATCAAACATAATGTGTGGTCTTTGTTTCCTGGATTAAAGAAAAGCTATTTAGGATGTTTTTAGGACAGTTGGGGAAATTCAAATATGAACTGGAATGTTAAGGAATTACTAATTTTGTCAGATGTGATAATGTAGTTACGAGGAGAATGCCATTTGGAAGACATTATTGTGGTTATGAAGGAGAATGTCATTTGGAAATGTATGCTGAAACATTTAGATTTTGAAGTGTTATAATGTCTATAATTTACTTTAAAATAGTTGAGCCAAAAAAAAAAAAATAGTACACATACAAGAAACAAATACAGCAAAATGTTAACAGCTGTTCATCTACATGATGTGGAATTGGTGTTCATTGTTCTTTCTACTTCTCTGTATGTTTGAAATTTTTTTTTTTTTTTTTTCTTTTGAGATGGAGTCTTCACTCTGTCACTCAGGTGGGAGCACAGTGGCACTGTCTCAGCTCACTGCAACCTCTGCCTCCCAGGTTCAAGCAGTTTTCCTGCCTCAGCCTCCCAAGTAGCTGGGATTACAGGCACCTGCCACTACACACAGCTAATTTTTTGTATTTTTAGTAGAGACGAGGTTTCACCATATTGACCAGGCTGGTCCTGAACTCCCGACCTCAGGTGATCCACCTGCCTTAGCCTCCCAAAGTGATGGGATTACAGGCTTGAGCCACTATATCTGGCCTTGAAAATCTTTATAGTGAAAAGTTGAAAGAGAAAAAAGAGTACAGTACCCATCCCACAGTAGGGTAGTAAGATATTTGCTATAAAACACTTGGCTCAGTGTCTGGCACACAATAAATAACCATACAATAAATATTCTCTATTATAGCAGTAAATTTTGAGTTTTTAATAATGCTCTAATAGGCAGATTTTTTCCATTATAAGCTAGTTTCTTGTGGAGGGAGAAAATAAACTTAATAGGAAACACCAGTTTAGTGACAGACACCAGTTTCTATAATATTAAGAGGATAATTTATGAAGTCAAGCTACTGATTTCCATGTGTTTCTGTAACATCCTCTTATTATTTTATGCATTAATTTGTGTTAGACTGTATTTATTTGTATTTATCTATGGTTGATCTTTGAATTTTGCCATACTGGGTTCCTTGAACTGCATTTAAAGATAGTTAATGCGCCAGGCACCGTGGCTCATGCCTGTCATCCCAGCACTTTGGGAGGCCAAAGCAGGTGGATCACAAGGTCAAGAGATCAAGACCATCCTGGCCAACATGGTGAAACCCCATCTCTACTAAAAATACAAAAATTAGCTGGGCATGGTGGCACATGCCTGTAGTCCCAGCTACTCAGGAAGTTGAGGAAGGAGAATCACTTGAATCCGGGAGGTGGAGGCTGCAGTGATCCGAGATCGCAGCACTGCACTCCAACCTGGTGACAGAGCAAGACTATATCTAAAAAAAAAAAAAAAAAAAAAAAAAAGTTAATGCATAGCTACTTTTTCTCAAGGAACAGTCTGTAATTGAGATTCATTTTCCTGGCCAAGGGCTTTGTATCAAGGGAATTGTAGAAGGTGGCTCGTGGTAAACTTGTCAAACATTGCTCCTACATTTACAAAGATCTATATTCACTTAAAATAATGAAATACTCTTTCAAGTCAATAGAATTTTGAAGCAGAAAAGACAAATCTCAAATCTCCTTGTTTTTTTCTTTTCTTCAGAGTCTTGCTCTGTCACCCAGGCTGGAGTGCAGTGATGCAGTCTCAGCTCACTGCAACCTCTACCTCCCTATTCAAGCAATTCTTTTGCCTCAGCCTCCCAAATAGCTGGCATTACAGGCATGTGCCATCATACTCAGCTAATTTTGTATTTTTAGGAGAGATGCGGTTTCACCATGTTGGCCAGGCTGGTCTTGAACTCCTGACCTCAAGTGATCTGCCTGCCTCGGCCTCCCAAAGCGCTGGGATTATAGGCGTGAGCCACTGTGCCTGGCCTCAAATCTCCTTTTAAATCTGAAGAAACTGAGGCCAAAAAGAGTGATTTACTTAAAGTTATACACACAGTGTGTTAGTGGAAGATCCAGGAATAAAACTATTTTTCCACTTAAAATATTCTGCCAAGCAGATATAATTGGGTTATGTAAGAAATCCTATTGCAATACATCCTGTACCACATCTCTATGGCATTACTAATTGGTCATAAATAAACTGGTGTCTTTAAAGAATGTAAATAAACAATTTACATTTTTTTAAATCTCGCTGAAATTTGAAAGTGCTTTTGAGAAAGTTTTTATTTGGACAGTGCATTTCTTTAACATGTTATGCAGGGCCCTTCTAGCCCAATCCAGAGCTGTGCCATGGCAGACCCGAGAGAAGAGGAGACAGTGTCAGCAGAAGCCTCAGGGTTCTCAGACTTGAGTGACTCAGAGTTCCTAGAGTTTCTGGACCTAGAAGATGCCCAAGAGTCAAATGCTTTAGTTAACATACCTGGCCCATCTTCTGCATCCCTTGGGAAGGATGACAAACCCATAAGCTTACAAAACTGGAAAAGAGGATTGGATATCTTATCACCCATGGAGAGATTCCAGCTTAAATATTTATATGTCACTGACCTGGCTTCTCAGAACTGGTGTGAACTGCAAACAGCATATGGGAAGGAACTTCCTGGTTTCTTGGCACCTGAGAAGGCAGCTGTTTTGGACACTGGTGCCAGCATACACCTAGCTAGAGAACTAGAACTTCATGATCTTGTGACTGTCCCGGTCACCACCAAAGAAGATGCTTGGGCAATTAAGTTTCTGAACATACTTTCAATGATTCCTACCCTGCAGTCAGAAGGGCACATCAGAGAGTTTCCAGTGTTTGGGGAAGTGGAGGGTGTACTTCTTGTTGGAGTGATTGATGAGCTGCACTATACAGCCAAGGGGGAGCTGGAACTAGCTGAGCTCAAGACACGCAGGCACCCTGTGCTCCCTCTGGAAGCTCAGAAAAAGAAAGATTGTTTTCAAGTCAGCCTGTACAAATATATCTTTGATGCCATGGTACAAGGAAAAGTGACCCCTGCTAGCCTAATCCACCACACGAAGTTGTGTCCAGAAAAGCCACTGGGGCCATCAGTGCTGAGGCATGCCCAGCAGGGAGGCTTCTCTGTGAAGTCTTTGGGTGACCTCATGGAACTAGTCTTCTTGTCTCTAACACTGTCAGACCTCCCAGTTATTGATATCTTGAAGATTGAGTATATCCACCAAGAGACTGCCACTATGCTGGGTACAGAGATTGTAGCCTTTGAAGAGAAGGAGGTGAGAGGCAAGGTACAGCATTATATGGCCTACTGGATGGGCCACCGAGAGCCTCAGGGAGTTGACGTGGAGGAGGCTTGGAAGTGCCGGACGTGTACCTATGCAGACATTTGTGAATGGAGAAAGGGTAGTGGAGTGCTTAGCTCCACAGTGGCACCCCAAGCCAAAAAAGCCAAATGAATAGAAGGTATGCTTTCAAGAATGTTGATCCTTCCTGCTCCTGCTATACCTAAGCAAAAGAGGACCAGTGTCTGAGCTTGGCTTTTATGGACAATGTTCTTATTTTGGTTCTTTCTTTATTTCCACAACCTCTAACCACATTCAGTCCAGGACCAAGACTCAGGGATAAGTGGGAGAGATGTGGAGTTATACTGTTCCTGGAGCTTTGCCATGGATTGCCTAAGAAGACAAATGCTCATCATGGCTGGAACGAAGGTATCCTTTAGTAAACATTGCTTTCCTAAGAAAATTCTTCAGTTTCTGATAAGTCGTCCCTATTTTTATTTTGATCAAGGCTTTGTACATTTTACATAATAAATTGAAATGCTTTCCAGGACAGTTGAACTGATGGTTTTTCATGATTGCAATCCTTCAAAGATGACCACCATATGTAATTGTGTACATGTTATTCCAAGCCTTTAAATACATACATAAACATATTTTTGAATCAGAATGAGCAGACCAAAACATAAACATAATAAATACTCTCAAAGAGACAAGGGAAGATGAAGTAGAAACAGGAAGTCATAAGAAGTGAAAATATTAGATATGAAAAACATAATAAATAGCTGGGTGCTGTGGCACATGCCTGTAACCCCAGCACTTTGGGAGGCTGAGGGGGTGAATCACCTGAGGTCAGGAGTTGAAGACCAGCCTGACCAATATGGTGAAAGCCCATCTCTACTAAAAATACAAAAATTAGCTAGGCATGGTGGCATGCACCTATAGTCCCAGCTATTTGGGAGGTTGACATGGGAGAGTTGCTTGAACTCAGAAGGTGGAGGTTACAGTGAGCTGAGATCATGCCACTGCACTCCAGCCTGGGTGACAGAGCAAGACTGTCTTAAAACAAAAAAAAGTACATGAAGTACATGTAACATTCACACATTACAATCTAGCGGTACCACTCCTGGGTATATGCTGGGAGAAATATACAATAGAAAATATGAACACAAATATACTTTGTAGTCCTTTCACAATAGCAAAAGCCTAGAAGCTACCCAGGTGCCCATCATCAGAAAAGTGGATAATGTACAGTAGCCAAAACAAATGAGCTTCAATGATACAAAACAATATGCATGAATGTTAGCAGCATATTAGGTGAAAAAAGTCCTAAAAATTACATACAGCATGATACCATTTTTGTAAAGTGAAAACATTTAAAGAAAAATGTAAAAGTAGTGGAGAGGAATCCCAGTGCATCTTAGAAGGCAGTGGAGCTCTTAGCTACAAACATCAGCAAAAAAGCTAGAGAAAGGAATAATATAGATGTCTATTGGAAGATACGGACTTATTTTTTGGTGACCCTACTGGAGAATTTGCAGATGTCGATGGATGGGGAGGGAAATTGGCAGGGGTAGAGTTTCTGTGTTATCTGGAACGTTTAAGAGCCAGCAGAACGTGGTGATGTTGTTAGTATGATTACACAAGCTGGTAAAACCTGGACTTCTGTAGGAGAGAAGGTAGGTTGTCTCTGGAGGCCCTTCTTAACTACACAGAGTCTTATGGACCCTGAAATCTCATGATGACTCTTCACGTTTACTGAGTGACCCTTATGTGCCAGGCACTGTGCTGAGCAAATTAAATCTGTATCCATTATCTCCAGTGAGGGAACTGAGGCCTAGAAGGGTTATATAATTTTCTCACCCGGGTGTGGTGGCTCACACTTGCCATCTTAGCACTTTGGGAGGGCAAGGTAGGAAGATCACTTGAGGCCAGGAGTTCAAGACCAGCCTGGGCAACATAGCAAGGCCCCATCTCAAAAAAAAAAAAAAAAAGCCAGGCATGGTGGTGCAAGCCTGTAGTCCTAGCTACTTGGCAGGCTGAGGCAGGAAGATCACTTGAACTCAAGAATTCAAGGTTACAGTGAGCTGTGATCATGCCACTGCAAAAAAAAAAAAAAAAAAAAAAAAAAAAAAAATGTTCCCAGGGTTCCACTGTTCAAAAGTGGTAGACTCCAGCCTAGATATGTCTGACTGCAGTGCTTAGGCTCTTAATCATTATGCTGTAAAGGTTTTCTTGTTGAACCTCCTGCCCTGTATGTTATAGGCCCTAGTAAGTTTAGAGTTAAATTGGGAGCATAGTAAGCTGGACCTTATGGGATAAACAATTTTAAGCTAATAGTCTTGAAGGAAAAAACTTGTTCAGTTTCTGTAGCATCATCTTAGTTATACTAGAAATTTTAAGAACAGGAGAAGACTGTGGCTCATACCTATAATCCCAGCACTTTGGGAGGCCAAGGTGTGTGTATCACCTGAGGTCAGAAGTTCAAGACCAGCTTGGCCAACATGGTGATGAAACCCTGTCTCTACTGAAAATACAAAAATTATCCAGGGGTGGTGGTACATGCCTGTAATCCCAGCTACTTGGGAGACTGAGGCATGAGAATTGCTTGAACGTGGAAGGTGGAGGTTACAGTGAGCCAAGGTCATGCCAGTGCACTCCAGCCTGAGCAACAGAGAAACTGTCTCAAAAAAACAACACACACAAACACACACACACACACACACACACACACACACACACACACGAAAAATAACAAAAAAAAAAACGGGAAAAAAATCTGTTTTCAGATACTGACATTATTGAGAATTTAGTAATTCCTTGAGACTTCAAATCTTTGTTAACATCTTCTGGTTATAACTTTATGGTTTCTCATAAGTTGAGGCATCTTTAGTTGGGATCACCCCAGGATCACAGCTTATGAGTGTTTGTGCCCCCTCAAATTAGTGTGTTGAAATCCAAACCCTCTAGATGATAGTATTAAGAGATGGGCCTTTGGGAGGTGATTAGGTAATGCAGGAGCAGCCCTCATGAATGGGATTGGTGCCCTTATAAAAGAGTTCCAGTGGAGCTCTTCAGTCTTTCCATCATGTAAGGACACAGTGAAGTTGCCTCAAAAACTATGAGAAATAAACATATTTGTTGTTTATAAGCCACTCCGTTTGTGGTATTTTGTTATAGAAGCTCAAATGACTAAAACAATCACTGATGCTGTTTTCTGTAACAAATACCTCCCTGATTGAGCCTTCATGTCTAATAATGTCATCTTTCCTTTGTGAATTCTGCCTAACATGTCTGAACTCCAAATTACAGCCCTGTTGGATATTTGTTTAGTGAGTGCATAAAAGAAAAGAGGTCACAGCAAAGCTATTGATTTTTTAAGAATTGCTTTCTGAGCCAGGAAATGAGTTGAACACCTTAATTAGGATTAGGATCAATTGTTTATAATAGAAATCACCAAGACAATAGTGGTTAAACAAATTAGAAATCTATATCTCACTTAATAGAAGCCTAACTATAGTTAGTCCAGAACTGGTGTGGCACCCTGTGATGTCAGGAGCCCAGATTCCTTCCCTCTTGTTTCTCCAGCATAAACATGTATCTTCATAGTCCAAAATGGCTGCCCAAAATCCAGTCACCCATTACACATTCAGCATAAAGTTGGAATAGCAGAAAAACACCCCTTTAAGGACACTTTTAAAATGTATATTTCTACTTTCACTTACAGCCCATTAGCCAAAATTTGGCCACCTGGTCATAGCTAGCTGCAAGAGGTTGAGGTGTGTAGTTTTTATTCTCAGCAAGCATATGCCCTGACCAAAACTACTGTAAAAAAAAAAAAAAAAAAAAAAAAAAAAAAAGAATGGAGAGAGAATTTAGAGAAAATGGCAGAGTAGAAAGCACCAGAAATCTGTCTCCCAGCCTAGACAGCAGGTGCATTGGCAGAATCTATCTGACGTAACTATTTTGGAATCTGGGGTCTGTTGAAATATTTGAATTGTAGTTCTGGTCAATTTCAACTCTTAAAACAGTGGTACCTCACCCCTCATTCCTATGGCAGCAGCTGTGCACATTGTTTCTGTGAGCAATTTGCACACAGCTTGACTTTTTTTCCCCCTTCATTTTTCTCTTTTAACCCCTTTTGGGAGCAAGATATTGAAGACTAGGACATTTAAAAGCAACTGCATATATAAGGGAAACTAGAAAATCACCATGTATCCTGAGGGGAGGTGAAGGATTAGAAAAGACCTGAGTATAAAAGTTTATATCTCATGCTGATTCTTGGGACAGACACAGCTCAAACAATGAAAGAAATGAAAATAAAAAGGAAACCCTGAGGAATAGGGAAAATCTGATATCCAGAGTTACCATATTAGATTAAAAGGTTTAGTTTTCAGCCAGGTGTGAGGGCTCACTCCTATAATCCCACCACTTTGGAGGTCAAGGTGGGTGGATTGCTTGAGGTCAGGAGGTCAAGACCAGCCTGGCCAACATGGCAAAACCATGTCTCTACTAAAAATACAAAAATTAGTCGGCCATGGCGGCTTTGAAGTTTTGGGACTTAGACTGGCTTCCTTGCTCCTCAGCTTGCAGACAGCCTATCTAGGGACTTCACCTTAGGGATAATGTGAGTCAATACTTCTTAATAAACTCCCCTTCATATATACATCTATCCTATTCTGTCCCTCTAGAGAACCCTGACTAATACACTGAATGACAGCACATCTATTTATAGCATAGATGACCATTTTAAGCTCACTGTTGAGACCTGCTAGGGATGCTGAAGGGGAGGACTGCTTGAGCCCAGAAGTCTGAGGCTGTAGTAAGCGACGATTATGCCACTGCACTCTAGTACCTGGGCAACAGTGAGACCTGTCTTTAAAAAAAAAAAAAAGGCTGGGCACGGTGGGCACGGTGGCTCACGCCTGTAATACCAGCATTTTGGGAGGCTGAGACAGGCAGATTACCTGAGGTTGGGAGTTCGAGACCAGCCTGACCAGCATGGAGAAACCCCGTCTCTACTAAAAATACAAAAAAAATTAGCCGGGTATGTGCCTGTAATCCCAGCTATTCATGAGACTGAGGCAGGAGAATCACTTGAACCTGGGAGGCAGAGGTTGTGGTGAGCTGAGATCCCACCATTGCACTCCAGCCTGGGCAACAAGAGCAAAACTCCATCTAGAAAGAAAGAGAGAGAGAGAGACAGAGAGAGAGAGAAAGAAACAGCTTTATAACTGTCTGGAAAGAGAGAGAAAGAGAGAGAGAGAGAGAGAAACAACTTTACAACTTACTTTCTGGACAACAAGAGCGAAGAAAAGAAAGAGAAAAGAAAAGAAAGAGGAACTTAACTACAATTCAAGGAACTAGAAAAAGAATGAGGCCAGGGAAAGCAAGAAAAGAACGAAAGAGAGAAAGAAAAAAGAATGAAAGGAGAGAAAGAGGAACTTAACTTTAAAATTCAAGGAACTAGAAAAAGAACAAGGCCAGGGAAAGAAAGAAAAGAAAGAAGAAATAGATGAACAACTTAACTTTACAACTACTTAAGGAGGTAGAAAAAGAACAAGG